TCTCATTTGTTTTTTATAGTACTTTTTGATAGGTTGGACTGTTTTTTCCCTTTGTGTAAAGATGGATGCAAAAAAACGTGTCTGTCTGTCTATCTATCTGTCTGTTATCTATGTCTGTCTGTCTATCTGTCTGTATCTCTCTATGTCTGTCTGTCTGTCTGTCTGTCTATCTATCTATCTATCTAATCTGTCTGTGTGTCTGTCTGTCCATGCATCCTTGCATCCTTCCATCCAACCAGTTTAGAAATCTGGCCATCATTCTCAGATGCCCTTCTTCACTTGATGCAGGAACCCCTCTCTCAGATCCCGGACCCTCCCAGGCGTGAAATCTCCTGCACCGCACTTCCCTCTTCCAGGGGTCCCTCTTGGACAACAAGGCAGAGCTGAAGCAGCTCCATAAGGTCACATCCTGCACCTGGGAATTCTCTCCCTGTTGCTGGGCCTAATTGTGTGGCTGCAGGCCACACAACACAATCCTTTGGTTGGATTCGCACCACAGACTCCACCTGTCTCAACAAAATAGACCTGCTGTGTTCCCGGTTAAGCTCTAACTCAAACAAGGATTTGGTTCACAGTGCATTTATGGGGAAAGTGCAGTTTCCTTAACCATCCGACCCTATTTAGAGCATTTTGTGAGCTCAGGGGGGGGGGGGGAGAGAAATCTACACATATGTATGTATAAATATATAAACATACCCGCCCACATGCATACATACAAACATGCATTTGACATATGTATACATTCACATAGATATATCTACATGCCCACAAGCATATTTTGGACCAAAAAAATCACATCCTATTAGCCAGCATTGGTTGGGTTTTAGCTTTGAACATTGTGGAAACTTGGAAAGTTGTGGTTTATTCAGCAAGCCATGGTTAAGGTCTGGTTCAGAACTATTAAGGCTGTCAATATGAAGACAGGCAGAACTGCCTTATCTGAGGCCCCAACTTCGCACAAGACCCTCCATGGACCAAACCCTCTTTGTGTGTGTGTGTGTGTGTGTGTGTGTGTGTGTGTGTGTCTCCTGCCTGGCCACATACTTTTCCTGGCCAATTGCAGGTGAAGAAGCATTCCTGAGGGAGGGGACAGAAGGGTCTCCCCCTCCCCGCAGGAAAGCGGGAATGCTACAGGCATCTCCCACCTTCAACTCCAGCGTTGGTGCCCGGACCCCCCCCCCAAGTCCTCTGAGACCTGCTCAGCCTGATGCCTGCCGAGGGGGGGGGGGAGGGAGGGAGGAGAAGAGGGTTGGGGTCTCCCCGGCCTTTGTTGTCACTCGGGGTTCCTGCGCGCTCCCTGCTCTGCAGAAGTAAACAAACCTGCCCGGGAAAGACAACCGCGAGCGGGCTCGTTCCGAGATATTTGTTAATTAGGGACATATGTCTCCTAAAGGGAATCGTCGCGCGAGGGAGCCGGGGGTGGGGCGGGGGGGGGAACCTTCTGCTCGCCATCCCCCTTCATTAGCATGAAGCGGCGGCCATTGGCTCGGGAACCGTGACGTCACAGGGTGACTTGTAAACTCGGAGCGGCTACAGATTGTCAGCTTGGTTTGCGATCCGGTCCTTCCGCTGGAAGCGAGAGGGAGGGCAAAAGATGCGTTAGGGAAAGCGTGGAGCCGGCGCCCGCGCGCCGCCCCTCCCCGGAGCACATCCTCGATCTCGCTCGGGCCAAACGACCCGGGGACCACGGTAGTCATTAGGGGAAACGGGGGCGCCGGGAACCCAAAGGCAGGGCGACCCAGCCTTAGCGCCAAGGGATCCGGCGCAGGGATTTCCACTGGGGATTCCCGGTGGTTCCCGGGCGGGCGCCTGTGTGCGTGACGCGGGAGTGGGAATGTGACCTTCAGAGACGGAATTGCAACCCGGTTCTTCTTTCCCTTGAGCCCCCGACCACAAACTCCTCGCCCGGTCCCAAATCTCGGGGCCTGCTAAGACAGCAGAGACCCCCTTCCTAGCTAGAAAGGAGGGTGGGGTAGGAACTGCTGAATGGAAGTCTTTGGGGGGGGGTCCCAGCTAGGAGGAGACTGAAGTACGGTCCTGCTGCTCTCCGCACCCCTTCTTTCTAGGGGGTCATGCCCACCATTGCCAAGCTGCCTCCCCAACCCTTGGAACTGAAGGCAGCCCCCCCAGAAATGAAGAGGGGCTTTAATGGGGCAGTCGGTGGTTTCCTGAGGGGGTGTCTCGTCTTGGCTTGGGCAACCCAAGCAAGGCCACATCCTTCGGTTCTCTTTCGGGTTGCCTGTTTCCTGGGCCAAATCGTGGCAGTTTCACTTTCCCCGTCCACACGTAGGCGCAAGTCACGAGTAAGCCCTAGTTCAGAGAGAGGGTGCCTCAGTTGGGTCTGATGAAACAATGAATGTCTGAATTCAATGGTGGGGTGACGAAAGGGGTTTTTCGTTCCTTTCCTCTCTTCCGCTCTCCCCTCCCCCATCATAGTAAAATTTCAGATTTGGAATGAAAAGACGAAGCATTGCTTATTACCAGAAAGGAGTGTTTATGAGTGATTCTTTATTCAACCTTTAGATGTATTGCTGTGCTTCTAAAAACAAACATAATAATAATGTACAAAGTTAGGAAGTTATCAGTAATAAAACCTGAAATTCAACTGAAATACAAAAACAGCAGCTTAAGGTTGGTATCTTTACCAAATCAGTAACATGTAGGGTTTTTTTTAAAATAAATCTGAGGTGTTTAATATCAGCCAAAGAAGAGGAATGAAAACAACCGACGTAACTAGAGGGAGAAGTTGTGATAATAGATATTAAAATATTGGCTTCAGCAACTGAAAGGGGAGCTGGCAGATCCGAAGCCATGAAAACAGGGGACAGTGTCGGGGTTCAGATGCTTGCAGCGCCCCCAAACAATCAGAGGTTAGCGGACTGAGGGCCACTGAAGGCACTGACCACTGGGCAAAGTGAAGAGCTCCTTGGTCTGAAAAGTTTGCTCAAGACAAGCCGGCATTTGAGTTGGGGCTCACAAGGCAGGCTGGGAAAAAACACGCTGACTGACCGAGGAAAAACTTTGCCTCGACTATTGCCCCAGCTGCGTAGTCTGGAACCTCTTCAACGCAGAGTCTTGCCGGTGAGGCGTTGCGTGCCCCCCCCCCCGCAGAAGATGCCCAGAGTCGGCTGCAATCAAGGGCTCCAGCGGCGTCGTGTTTGCCCCTTTCCTGACTGCTCCCTCGCCCCTCGGTTACTGACAGCCTCGGCTCCCGCCCTCGCCCGATCCACAGGCGCTTCTGCCCCTCATCAGCTGCTTCGCGAATCTCCCCCCCCCATTCCTTTCCACAAAAGAATAAAGGCTCACCTCATTAAAAAGTGAGGCCTCCCCTCCTTTTATCGCATCCGGGAGCCCACAGGTCCTCCCGACGCTCCGGCCAATAAATCATGGCCCGGGAGTCGAATGGGGAGGGGGAGATCACAAAGATCGCTGCCCCCCTCCGTCGGTCGGGACTGGTAGACCGAGTCGGGGCGGGCGGGCTGTGGAATTAGGCAAACTTGCTTCTCTGGAAAGCTGCAAACGCGGGAGAATCCAAGGGTCTTTTTTCCCCCCAACAGGATGCGGTGGGGGGGGACTGAATATTTTGCACCTCCTCCGCCCCCTCCCACCCGCCGGTTGTCCTTCGCATTTCCCTCGCCAGCCGAGAAGCAAAAGGAGGAGAGGAGGTTTTCCAAAAAGATCGGGCAGGAGGCGACTCACAACAGCATCACAAATCATTCCGTCTCAGCGCTGCTCCCGGGAGATTTTTTTTCCCCTCTTTTTTTGATGGATTAAATTAAGCGCTTCCATTTCCGTCCACCACCTGATCGCCGCATTATAAATCCGAACAGCTGATCCGCGCATCTTCAGAAATCCAGGCGCCCGCAAAGCGGAGGAGGCTGCAGCAAGGGAGGCCGCCGGGAGCTCTCCGGTGCTGAATGAGGGACCCCCCAGCCAGCCAGCAACCACCGGCCGCCCCCCCGGCTCCCGTCGCTGCCGCCCCGAATCGGAACGGCCGTGCCCGTCGCAGCGCACACGCAGCCTGGGAGGCGCGCGCATTCCCGACCCGAGCAGAGGCTGACGCACTGGCGGAGAGGACCGACGGGAGGGGGGGGGCGACCGGCAAAGGACGCCGAGCCAAGCCGCAGCCGTCGCGGGCCGGGCTGGAGGCGGGCGCGGGCGCGGGCAGCGGCCGGCCGGGCGAGCCAGCGAGCGCGCCACCGGCTGGGCGCAGAGCAAAGCGGGCGCCGGGCCGGCCGGGAGCTGTCCAGGGTGCTGACTCCGCCGGCCGCCTCTTATGAACCAGCGCGGCGTTGGCCGTGATCTCTCGAACTCCGGGGGGGCTCCAGAGGCGAGCTGGAGGGCAAGCGAGAGGCCTGCCGGAGAGGCGCAGCCTTGCCTCGCACAAAAGCCGCCGCCGCCGCCGCCGCGGAAAGGAGGACCGGCGCGGCGCAGACGCCCAGGCTGGAGACCTCCGCGGCCGGCGCCGCTCCTCCCTTCAGGCCTTCGGGAACAAGAGGCGAAGCAGCCGCTGCAGCCCACAAAGCCATAGTCCCCGCGCTCGGCGACGGCCATCCCCGGCGGCCCCCCCGCCTCCCTTCCCCGCGGCGGGCTCGCTCTTCCGCGCCTTCTGCCTTTCCTCCGGCCCCCCCTCGCCGCCTCTTCCTCCTCCTCCTCCTCCTCCTCCTCCTCCTCCTTCCGAGCGCCTCTTCCCCCTTTCTTTGCGCGGCTCTTTGATCGCCTTCCCGCCGCCCCCCCCCACCCCGCCGCCGCCGCCCGCCCGGAACCCATCGGCGGAAGCTGCGGGAGCCTTCTCACATTCCGGGGGAGTCCAGAACCATGCCCAGATCCTTCCTGGTGAAAAAGGTCAAACTTGACGATTTCCCCTCGGCGGACCTCGAGAATTCCTACAGCAGATCGCGGACCGACTTCAACTCCCGGATCCATGACAAGGGTGAGGAGGGGGACGGCGCGGGTGGGCGAGAGGGGGAGGAGGAGGAAGAGGAGGGGGAGGAGGAGGAGGGGGGTCCCCCTCGAGATGGGCCGGCGGGGGGGGCTGAGGGCGGCTGGTCGTGTTCCCTGCGCCCCGTTCGGAACTCTGAGCCAGCAGGCCGCGAGCATCCCGGCGCCGGCGAGGCAAGGCGCGCGGGGGGACCGGGCGGAGGAGCGCCGCCTTCCTATTCTGGAATGCGAGAGCCATATTGAGCGGCTCTGCGCCTGCCCGCCTGGCGGCGGCGTTGGCTCGGCACCTTCGGATGGAAGGCAACCCGGCTATGCGCCCTGGCGGGGACGAGGTGCGGGGCCGGCGGGCGCGCGGCGAGCCTCTTCCCGGGGATCCCGCGGGGAGAAAGGTAGGGGCGCGGGAGGGGCGCGGGCGGTGGGAGGCATTTCGCCGCAGTGGCGCCTTGCCTTGCCAGCGGGGCCTTTTGTCTCGGGCGCGGCGACTCCAAGGGCAAGCGCGCGGCCGCCTCCAACGGGCCGCTCCCCTGGGGTGCGCTCTTGGGGAGGCCTTTCGAGGCCCCCGTGCCGGAGGCCCCACCTCGCGGTCCGAGCGGACGATGCCCGCCCTCCGGCCCGGGGAAGGCCCCTTCCCGCTTTTGTCCGGGACAACGCGTCTGCAGCACGTTGCATAATCGTCATGGGGGGGGGAGGGTGGTTAGCTTCCGCAAGGCTGCACCCCCCCCCGTGCCTTTGGTCTCCTGCAGAGAGTTGACCTTGAGGGAGGGGTGGGGGGGAAGGATGCCTTGCTCCTCTTCTTTGGTCTCATCGCTCAAGGGACAGAGGCTCCCCCCCCCAGCCCTCCCCTCCCCTCCCCTTCCCCCGCGCCTCTCCGGTCCTCCGGCTGGTTTCTGGCCCAGCAGCACAGGTGAACCGGCTGGCAAACTGCTCTACGGACGGAGAGGGGAGCCGGAGCCCCCGAATCACTGCGGATATGGGCAAGAGGCGGCCTGGAGAGAGGTGCGGGGCGGGGGGGGGGGCTTCTCCGGACTCCGCTTGTTGCCTCTATTAAGCGGGGAGCTCCGGAGGCATCCAATCTCTACCGTCCTTGCCAGGCGCCTCTGCTAACGGGCTCTTCTCCTGCTTTTCCTCCCGGCTCTCCATCCTTCCCCCCCCCGTCTCTGTTCGTTGCCCGTCCTCCCTCCCCTTCCCCACCCCCACCCCCGCCCGCCCGCAGGTGACTACATCAGCGAGTACATCGCGCCGTCCTCGGTGTACGAGGGGGAGGGCGAGAACGGCCTCAAGGTGCCCCCGTCGACGGGCGTCATCTACCCGGGCACTCACGGCGACTCGGACCAGGCCGACAGCCCGCACTCGGCCTTGGCCGGCGGCTACATCAACGGCGACGCGGCGGTGAGCGAGGGCTATGCGGCCGACGCCTTTTTCATCACCGACGGGCGTTCGCGCCGCAAGGCGGCGGCGGCGGCGGCGGGCGGCGGGGCCGGGGGCGCGGGTTCCCGCCTGGGCCAGACCCCTCCCGCGGGCGGGCAGCCCCCGCCGCCGCCGCCCGCGCCGCCGCCGCAGCGGCACACCTGCAGCGAGTGCGGGAAGACCTACGCCACCTCGTCCAACCTGAGCCGCCACAAGCAGACGCACCGCAGCCTGGACAGCCAGATGGCCAAGAAGTGCCCGACGTGCGGCAAGGTGTACGTCTCCATGCCGGCCATGGCCATGCACCTGCTGACGCACGACCTGAAGCACAAGTGCGAGGTGTGCGGGAAGGCCTTCAGCCGGCCCTGGCTCCTGCAGGGCCACATGCGCTCCCACACCGGCGAGAAGCCCTTCGGCTGCGCCCACTGCGGCAAGGCCTTCGCCGACCGCTCCAACCTGCGCGCCCACATGCAGACTCACTCCGCCTTCAAGCACTTCCGCTGCAAGCGCTGCAGTAAGACCTTCGCCCTCAAGTCCTACCTGAACAAGCACTACGAGTCGGCCTGCTTCAAGGGCGCCGTCCCGCCGCCGCTCAGCCCGCTGGAGGCCTGACGGAGCGCGGCGCGGCGCCCCCCTCCCCCTTTCCCCTCCTCCTCAGGCTCCCCCCCCGCCCCCGCCCCCGCCAGGCTCCAGGAAAGCGGGCGGAGGCCGGAGGGGGCCGAGGCCAAACGCCCAGCGCCTCACCTGGACAGGTAACCCCCCTCTTCCTCCTCCGCAGCCTCCAGGCCGCGCTCGCTCCCCTCCCTTTGCGGCTCCAGCGGAACGACGGGACCGACGCCTTCGCCCCCCCCCTCCCCGCTCGGCGAGGCGTCGGCTGGTTTCCTTCCACGAAGCTGCCGAATTTCTATTTTCCTAAAGGTTTACGTTGTCTTATTTTGCTTTCGCTGTTTTAAGAGTGAGAAAAAAAAAAAAACAAGGACAAGAGAGGTAGAGGTATGTATTTGACTCGGAGGCGGTCTTTATTTATTTACTTACTTATTTATTTATTTACTTATTTATTTATTGGCTTACTTACGAATGTATTGATTTTTCGACCTGTTTGTTTTGTTTATTGCGCGGGGCAGTGCCCCCCCCTTTACGTTGCACTTTTGTGTTGGTTTTTTTTAATTATTTTGTTGCTTTTAAAGCCGAGTCTCCTCTTTTGCACCGCTGTTGACTTCCGATCCGTACGTTTGTTGCCAAGACTTCTTTACTATGCCAAAGTCTACGTCACTTTCTGAAGGGGGGGGGGAACGAGGAAACCAGGACTGGCCGTTGTTTTTTTTTTTTTCCTTCTTTTGGTTTTGCTTCCCCCCCCCTTTTCCGGGTTGGGGCGAGGGTGTGTGGGGGGGAACGATCGCCATCCTTTCTAACGCAGGATTTTTTGCATGCGAAGAAGAAATGTATTTAAATCTATGCCAATTTGATGATGCTTTTTAAAATTATTATGATGATGATGATGGATTTTCATTTGTAACACTTTACATCCCTTTGTTTTTTCTTTGCCAAACTTTTAGATAATAATAGTCTATTTGAGGGCAATATTCTCCTACTGAACTAATAGAAGCAATAATTAACGTAATGCATGTTATTTTTAAGACAAATAGTAATAGTGAGGAATCAGGTAACTTTTAATCCAACTTCTTAATAGCAACGGATATCAGGGACTTTGCCAGTGTAGTGAACTCGCGTTAAGGAGGCGAACCCGCCTTCTCTTCTTCTTCTTCTTCCTCTTCTCTCGTCTTCTAATGAATGCACACTGCCTGCCTTCTTCCACTTACTTCCTAGTAGCTTAGTCAAGTCTCGCGGCTTGTAGCGCTTGCCTGGCCCGAGAAATACGAGCAACACTCTGCCCGAATCCCTCCTTGGCCCCCCTCCGGGGCCTATTCCCCTCCCCTCCCCCCCGTGGCTTTCAGGCTCTGCCAGCCCCCTGCCTCTGAGGGGGGAGGGGCGTGGGATGCAGCCCAGCAGGGATGCAGGAGCCTCTGTTCCCCGCCCCCCCTCCTCCCCCCCCGGAGGTCTCCCCCAGTGCCAGAGCCTGCACCCAACAGGTGCCTTCCGCTCCATCGGTGGACAGACGCCGGGGACGACTTTCGGGGTCTCCCCCCAGGGTCAGATCTGCCCTAGTCCTGCCGGTCAGCTGCCGGGTCGCTGGTGGCTCCGACTGCCCCCCTTGGTAAGGCTTGGCCCTCTGGTGCCGCCGCCTCTTCCCCCCCCCCGTCTCCCCCCCCGCAGGAACCTTCCGCCCACGTCACGGGCCTGCGGGGGAAGGAAGACTCCTCCTAAAGACATTGCCTTCCGTTAAGAATACTAAGCCCGCCCCCCGCGAAAGCCACGAGGAACCCCCCCCCCACTTTTCTCTCCCACTCTAAGCACTTCTTCCCCTGTAGGTCTTTCCATTTTATGAATAACTTAAGAAAAATAAACAGCACAAAAGAATAAAAAAAAAACCTTAATAGAAATCAGGTAGAAGGAACTTGTGTTAGCACCTCCTGTTTTTGTACTTAAGATAATTAATGATGCTACTACTAGAACAATGACTTCTAATACTAATATTGCTATTAATGCTCCCTCTTGATGATACTGACTTTAAAAAGGCAAAAGACGGACTGCTTTGTAAATACCGTTTGGAAATTTGCGTGCATTTTTACAAGCTGTTAAAAGAATTCTGAGCCTGTTTGTTGGGGGAAAAAAACAAAAAAAAGCAAAAACGAAACTCTTTTCCTGGGGAGAAAAGACACAGACTATCCTACCGGAGAGAAACGGCGAGGATGCCAGGGAGGCTGTTGGAGCCCAGAGGCCGAGCGGTGGACCAGTAAAGCACAATTCGCACACCGTGTCCTGCAGCACTTCACAATAATAATAATAATAAAAAAAGAGAGAGGATACTCTTGTAGTACACCTGGCGTGACGCCTTCTTCCTCCGCGCGAGCGAGGCTACTCTGCGGGAGGGGGAGGGCTTGCTCTCTGCACATGCTCCGAGCATCGTCGCAAAGGAGCCACAACGAAGCCGGCTCTTTTCCGGCTCGCCCTTCTTTCTCCTTCCGCAGGTTTGTCCACTGCCCGGCTGCGTCTCGCAGGAGGGGGCTCTTCTGTCGTCCAGCCGCCCAAGCTCACGTCGAGGACGCTCGTCCGGCGGTCTTTGGAGCCTGGACCGAAGCCCTCCAGCCGGCTTTTCGCTCGCGCTCTCCTCCCCCCCCCACTGCTTCTGAGGAGAGCTCCGAGGAGCCCAGCGACGGATCCTGGACGTGCGCTGTCTGCCCCCTCGCCGCCGGTCTTCCCAGACGCCCCCGACGACCTCTGGGGCCCTCCACTTTCCGCTCACTGACCCTCCTGGGAAGGCCGAGGGCGTCCCGCTCCCAGGGGTTCTGACTGCGCCTGAGCGAACGTGGACGGAGCCCACCTCCAGGCCACCTTCCTGTCTCTCGCCTGGCAGCAGAAGCGGGGGAACTGTGGGGTCCTATGGGGTGCGCCCCTGCAGCTTCGCTAAGCTGATGTGCGCCAGAATTGGAAGCTGCGAGGGGATCCCGGTGGCAGCCCCGAGGGGAACGGTGGCCCCTCCGATCAGAGGTGACGCCAGGGGTCGGCAAGGCGTCAGCGGCGCCCCCCTCCCCAAATGCCAGGAGCGCCTGGCTGGGCAGCGCAGGAGGGCAACTTCCACCGGCCCCAGAGGTCTGCGAGGAGGCCAAGTTAGAGTCAATCCTCATCTTGACCCTAACCCTCCCGAGCTGAAGCCAAGGTCCCCACAGCCTCCGGGCCCGTATCCGCCACGCCGCCCTGCCAGGCTCGACAATCCTCCCCCTCTTGTTTCGGTCGCGTCCGGAGAGGTGGCTTCCAGCTTCCGCCGCCCAATTTTTCCCGCAGTGGCCCAAGTCCGCTCTGGCCGGCCTGTCGAGGGGAAAAGGGCGTTTTCTCGGGGCCGGAGGGCCGCCGGGCGAAAGCAAGGAGGAGCGTCTCTTCCTGAGTGGAACAGAATTGCCGCAACGGCCTGGATTCAGAAGGCCGGGGACCCCAGGCTGGGCTTTTGGCTCGCCCAACAAATGAACCGTGATGGAATGGGAGGAAGAGATCTGTGTGTCTGCTGTTAGGCCGGGGCAGAAGGAGGGAAGGAGGGAAGGAAGGAAGGAAGGAAGGAGATGGGAATGGGAATGGGAAGGAAGGAAGGAAGTTGATGGGAATGGGAAGAAAGGAAGGAGAAGGAAGGAAGGAAGGACATGGGAATGGGAAGGAAGGAAGGAAATGGGAAGGAAGGAAGGGGAAGGAGGGAAGGAAAGAAGGAAGAAAAGGAAGTAAGGAAGGAAAAAGAAGGAAGGAGAAGGGATAGAAGGGAGGGAGGGAGGCCTCCGGGGCCAGCGTGGACTCCCTTGGTCAATCTGAGTCCCGAGGCTGTGGCCGCCGTTGGCTGGCTGAAGAGGCCTCTGCAGGGTCTCAGGCCAGAGCTGGCCTCGGGCGCGTCTCCACCAGCAACCTCCAAGCAACGAAGGGAAGCGCGGAGCGACCCCCGGGCCCGGCACGCTGCTGATTCTTGGGAGGGGGAGCGGGGCCCTTTCCACGGCACCGGGCAGGGCGAAGAGCCTCCCGCAGGGGCCCAACCGTCGGCGAGGCAGGATTACAACTTCCGGAACCACTTTGGAGGGCAGACAGGCAGGGAAAGGTGGGGCTTGCACTTCAGCCCCCCCCTTCTGTCCCCAGCCCCCCGCCCTGAGTTTGGAGCTCTTCTGCCAATAGTAGGTAGTAACACCTCCTCTCCCCGCTGATCCTTCGCAACTCGGCGGTTGACTTGGCCCGCGGGAACCGGGTCACCATCATCGGAACCCGCCCTCGACTCTCCGTTGCCAGCAGTTCGCTTGAGCCGCCCCCAGGTGCCGCCGGAGGGGATTGAACCGGGCGGCCTCCGGCTCTTGATCCGGACAAAGGCGCACCGCGGGCTCCCCCTCCCCCGCGAGCCTGGGACCCAGCGGCTCCGCTCAGCTTCCAGTTCTTCCCGGAACCGCGCAGCTGCCCTGCGAGAAGCGGAGGGGCGCTGAAGGCAGCCCCGCAGCTGCCGGGGCCAACCTGGGGTCTTCCTGAAGGCGCGCCTGGTGCCGGGCGGGAGAGGACAAGCCGCCGCCTCCGTCCGCCCCCCCCCCCGCGGCGGCTGAGTCAGGCGGAGGCTGAGTCAGGGTCAGCTCAGGTCAGGCTGCCGCAGCGGGGGCGGGCCGGGCTCTTCCCGCCCCCCCCCCCGCGCTCCGTCGCCCCTCCAGGACAGCCGTGGCTCAGAGAGGGAAAGGACGGGGCGGGGGGGGGGAAGGTGGGGACGGAGTCCTCTGTGTGTGCGTGTGTGTGTGTGTGTGTGTGTGTGTGTGTGTGTGCAGCGAGCACAGAAGTTGCAGAGATGCGGGCGGGGACGTCACGTGCTCAGCCCTCCCCCCCCAGACTACAAATCCCAGCATACTGAGCCCGCGCTTCCTTCCTGGAAAGGAAGGCGAGGCACCTTCCTCCCCTTGGCCGGACCGGAATTTGGACTGGTTCCGGCCTCGGAAGTGGCACGAGTAGAGCCTCTCGGGGTGTGGGGTGTGGGGCTTCTGCCGTTGCCTTCGACAGCCGGCCGGGAAAGGCGGGTAGCCTTTACCCGCCAGGAAATGGCGGGAGAGACCCCCCCCTGAAGGGCCCGAAGAGCGAGCGCCCCACAGAAGGGGGGAGGCAGGGCGGGTCCGGCTGGCCGCTTTCGCCCGCGGTTCCGAGCGGGGGTCTGCAAAGGGGCGCTCCTGTCCTCTCCCCCCCCCGTCGGAGAGCAGGCGGGGTTCTCCAACGCAGCTTTCCGCATCGCCCCCCCCCGGAAGAACACAGCCAGGGTCGAGGCTGAGGGCGGGGGTCTCTACCTCCACGGGGGGCTTCGAGAACGATTTAGGTGCGTTGTGAGGAGGGGGCTGAATCCCTCCTTCCTTCGGGGGTCCGCCTGCTTCCGCCCCGCTTCGGGGAGGGCCCGGGGAGTCACCTTCTCTCCCCAGATTAGTTCGTCGGTTCAGGTGAGATCCTGTAGTCCAGAGGTCCTCAACCTTGGCTACTTTAAGACTTGTGGACTTCAACTCCCAGAATTCCTCAGCCAGCAAAGCTGGCTGAGGAATTCTGGGAGTTGAAGTCCACAAGTCTTAAAGTGGCCAAGGTTGAGGACCTCTGCTGTAGTCGCTGTGCTTCCTGGAAGGGAGGCGGCTGGCTCCGTCCGCCGAGGCGGGGGGGGGGGGAGAGAGGAACCACCGATCCAGGGACCCCCGCGCGGCAGACTTCCGAAAGCCCCGGGACGCCCCTGCAAATCCGCCCCCCCTTCCTCATCCAGGCGCCTCCGGTCCTCTAGCGGAGTGGCGGCTGTGGGGCCGAGATCCCCCGGGGCACCTGTGGCGGAGTCCTCCTCCACCCCCTTCAGCCCCGCCCGCCCGGGCTGCAGCCAAGGAGCGAGAGGTCGGGCTGCCCGATCCCGGGAAGGGGGGGGGAGCAGCAGGAGACCCTCCTGCGCTTCTCCAGGCGGAACGGGGCCGCTGGTGGGCTCCGCCACTGGGGTCGTGGCGTGAGAAAATCCCTCCCCTGGGCAGAGTTGGGGCTCAGCCTGAGCGGATGGGCTCCGCTGCTCCAGCGAGGCCCTGAGGGGTCGGTAGCCGGAGAGCTCTGGGTGCCTTCTCTGCGCCCCCTCCCCCGTTTATAAGCGAGCTTCCGCTCCCTCCGGGTCCCTTCAAGGTCATTGCTGCGGGCCCGCCATTCCCCGACCGGCCGCTAGGTGGAGCAGCGCGCCAAGTCACCGGCTTTCGGGCGCTGCGGCTGAGCCGGGAAGCCGAGCCGGAGCGCCGCGGCGGCTCCGTTCCCATCGGCGGCCTGAATTCCGGCGGAGTCGCTGTCTGCCGGCTCCGATGCAGTCCAGATGCTGATCCGCAGCCGAGAAAGCGCTGCAGGGATGGGACTCTTCAGCGAGCAGGGCCGCTGCCTTGGGGGCGTCCCAAAGGCAGCCACTCTGGCATCATTGGGGGGGGCACAAATGGGGGTTTCCTTTTAAACAGGCCGATGTAAACCTGGTCGCCCGGCCTCTGCCCCCCCCCCCCGACGTGTCCTGCAAGGCTGCCCTGACCGATACGGGCGGGGGGGGGTCCTGAAATCTCTGGCCGAGAGGGAGGAGTGAGACTACGACAATACATGCAGCATGGAGTGTGCACGTTCTAAGTCAGGGATTCTCAACCTTGGCAACTTTAAGACTTGTGGACTTCAACTCCCAGAATTCCTCAGCCAGCAAAGCTGGCTGAGGAATTCTGGGAGTTGAAGTCCACAAGTCTTAAAGTTGCCAAGGTTGAGAACCCCTGTTCTAAGTACTACAGATGAACTTTTGAAGCGGCAATAAAAATGCAACAAAACACAACTCAAAGAACGGGCAGTCTTTCTTGGGGAGCCCAAGGCAAGCAAAGGGCCGGTGTGGGTGTGCAGGCTTCCTCCCTGGATAGTCCTTTTCTCCCACCTGGCCCTTCGGCCATCCTGGCTGGGAATCATAGGCACTGGAGTCCCAACTCATCTGGCCGGCAGGCAGGTCTGTGGAGGGAGTCTGCCACGGGGAGGGGGAGGCTGGAGGGCCGTAGGGAAGCCGTACCTGGACGATTAATCTCTGGGTCCCGAATCCCCTGGTTCTTTCTTCTCAGACCAGCTTCGAGATGGGAGGAGTCAGCCACACTTTTTCCAAGTTGCAAATCTTAAAAGCAAAAGCTTTTGCGACCTGTCAAGGGTTGCGCCCTCACCTGGCTGCCTCCCAGGATGCACTGCGGCTCTCCCAGGCTTCTGTAAGAGGCCTGGGCCCTTCCGAGGTGGCACAAAGGGCGGGCAAGGGCGGGCAAAGGGTACCCAGATGCCAGGGGCTGGCCCGTTCCTCTGAATGGTGGAGCTCTCCA